GCACGCGCACCGCGCGGCAGGACAGAAAAACGCCCGCAGACCACGTGTCAGGACGGAAAAATGATCGCGGACTACGTGTCAGGGCGGAAAAATGGCCGTACCTCGAGGCGGAGTTCACACATCAAGGTAAATTTTTGGGGCCGGAGCTGGTCGTATCTCGAAAATTTCTTAAGTAGGGGCATTCGTAAGTAGAGGTACCACTGTATACACATAGTCCTCGATTAACAACCCTAATTGGGACTGGTAACTCAGCCGCTAAGCAAAGTGGTTGCTAAGTGGGAAATCACTTGACTGTGATGTGCTTTCCAGCTGGAAAGAGACAAGACTAGTCAGTTTCACACCTTCAGCTTTTGTTTGCCTCCTAACCACTCCCAGCCCCAGGCTGCCAGTGCAATCTCATTGCTTTTGATGTGGAAAGAAGAAACAGCTTACTTTCTTCCAATCCTTTTCTTTTCAATCAGTCTGCTCTGCAAGGGGGAGAAAGGGAAAAACCACAAGTCAGGCGCAAGACAACGCATTACAACTGACTGTAATGACGATCTCATGACTGAGGAATCCTGCAAAGGTCATAAATGGGCTGTAAAGTTATTTTTTCAGCACTGTTGTAACTTTGGTTGCTGAACAAATGGTTGGTAAGCAAGGACTACCTGTACAGAATAGTAAGATAAGAAACAATAATCTATGGGGTATTTATCTTTCTGTCACTGAACTGAATATATTAAAGTTCCAAGAGTAATGGGGAAGATTTCAAGAAGTAATCCACCTTATTATTTATTTATCTATTTGCTTAATTTATTGCCACCTCAATCACCATAGCAACTCTAGGTGGCATACAGAAGTAAGAAATACTTTGAAACTGATGTAAACTTACCCAGTAATAAGCAAATTATAATCACCCGTGCCAGGGAAGCCGCAATACATAACATAAGCAAGGTCACAGATCCCTTTATCCCGCGTTCTATTGAAAAACGGAAGTCTTCAAGACTTTCCTGAAGAGCAACAAAGTTGAGGCTGTGCACACTTTGGGAGAAAGGCAGGAAAGTCTAATCCCCAGGGTCCCACAAAATGGCATTGCTTTGCTCTTGGGACCCAGAGCATTCCAGTCCTGCACTTCTGCCCAGATGGGCAGAAAAGGTTAGAGAAAGATAGTTTCAGAAGCATCCAGTGCTCGAGCCATTAAAGTCTTTAGAGGTGACAACCAGCATCCTGAATCGCATCTGGAAGCCAGCCGGAAACTGGTACAGCTTGCAAAGTAATCATCTAGGGCAGTTTGTTTAGAGCACATTGGATCACAGGCAGTCCTCACTTAACAGTGGTGATTGGGACTGAAACTTCCATAGCTAAGTGACCCAGTCGTAAAGCGTGATGTCACATGACATTGCCGCTTAGTGATGGAAATCCCAGCACTTTTGGTTGCCATCGTAAAGCTAATTCCGCAACATTGTTAAGCGGATATCACATGGTCGCCATTTGCAGCTTCTTGCCAGCTTCCCCACTGACTTTGCTTGTAAGAAGCCAGCAAAGAAGGTCATGAATGGCAATCACTGTGGCATCGTAAGTATGAGGACCGGTTATACGTATCCCTCATTCAGTGCCATTGTAAGTTCGAACAGTTGTTGAACAAGTGATCGTTAAGTGAGGACCACCTGTAGTCCAAACGAGATGACGACTGTGGCATGAGTTATTGTAAGAAGAGCGTCCCGATCCAGAAATGTGTGTAACTGGTGCACCAGTGTCTCTGTGCAAATGCTGTCTTGGCCATAGCTGCCACTTGTAATCATGCAAGAGCCACCTGTCCACGAAGATTCCCAAATTATTCACAAGGCCTGCCGGGGGTACTGCAGCCCCATCAAGACCACATCCACAGAGCCTCCTAGCCCTGGTTTAAAGATGCTCCACAAACCATTTGCAGAGACTTGTCCTCATGCCAGGGCCTGTATCTCATCAGCACACAGCTGAGGCAGCTCCAAAAGAGCTGTAGCTGCTCATTCTGAAACTACTGGGTTGGCTCTGGGTCTGTCTCAAGAACTCCCAGCCAGGTACCCTTTGGTGCCTGAAGAGGAGGAGAAAGAAGCAGATGGTGGTGGTGGTGGCAGTGGTGGTTCAAGGTGACGTGGTTAGTGGCAGTAATCTGCTTGCCCCCAGTGATCTAGCAAGTTTGCTGTGGGGCTGCCCCCTTCCATCTAGCCCCTGGACTAGAAGGCTGTTCTGCAGTGATGCTTGGGCTGCAGAGGATCGGGTGAGGGTTGGAGCATTTTTTCACCTTACTTAAATGGGTTGGTCTACCATTGACTGAGAAAGCATGAAGTCCTGAAATTGGCTAGCCAATCCAGCTTACTGGGTATAATAGGCTGTAGCCTGGGGGTGGGGCAGTGGGGAGATCCCTGCCCAGTGGCAGCTGCTCCTAGGGAAGCCCTGGTTCCTCACTCCCTCTCCTCTTGTTTTTAGGGGAGTGCAGAGCTCCCATATTGGTACCCCCAACAAACTCTAGTTTTTCAAGATCACTTATCCAGCTTCTGCCTCTCACCTGCACAAATCTGGACAATGGCTAGAGGACACCCAAGACATATAAAACCTTCTCTTTGTTGCCACCTAGTGGTTGATCCATTGACCTGTCAACCCTGTTGCAAGGAATTATTTTTAAAAGTTCAGTTGATGGTACAATGGGAAAGAAAAAAGAAAAAAAAATACAGTGCACAGAGTAACCAGAGCGTTGTGCACATCAATATGAGCAGTTTTTCATGCAGGGGAGGGTTGAGTTGGGCTGGGATTTCAGCCGACAGAACCCCCAATCATTGCTCTTCAGATGTTGCCTGTTGAAGGTGGGCAAACTGCAGCACAGCACGGGCTCATTGCACGTGGGCAGGAAGGGGCTCAGCCACATTCAGGGTCGCTGGGTTTCCTGCCACCCTTGGGGCCTGCACTGATGCAGCCAGCCTTGGTTCTACCTGTAATCAGGGCAGGTTTCCCTGCAAACCGTAAGGAAAATTCCAGTCACTTGGGACCCATTTTGCCTTAAGTGTAACCAGAACAATAAGTTGAAAGCTAACTTATTATATGTTGTAGTTACTAGTACAGCAGCTGGGAGGGAAACCCGCTGAGAATGCCTGCCAGAACAGAAAACTTCCTTGTATTCTGAGAAATGGAAAGACGTATTCCATGTTACCCAATATCCTAGACATTCCAATAAGTGAGTAAGAAACGCTGTAAATGAGAAGATATGCAAATCTTCGCATTTTTTTTTTTAATGTTAGAACATGTTAAATTTTGTGTATGTTCTGTGAGGAGCTCAATGGCAAAGAATGGAAAGAATACTTTGATGAAATTTGTCGCAGAGATGATAATGGAATATTGTTTAGGGTTATATCTGAAGCCAGATCCATTGACTTTCCCAGGATGTTTTGTTTCAATAATACTCAGGTTTTAACCCACCTATGTACCCTTTGAGAGAAAATTGTGATGTTTTGTGGAGTTATATATCTTATTTCTTCATTTTCATTTTTTACTTGTTCTGATACATCCTTTTTAAGAAAAATAGAAATAAATCAAAATATGAAATGCAAAAATAACATGGTCTGAAAAATAAATGGTGGTTTTTCACAATTATTTGTAATGATCCTCAGTCCACTTTGTAGTATACTCAGATTATTTTTGTCATTCTAATATTCATATTAAATTTTTACCCTGACAAATGTCTTTACTGTTTGGTTAAAACAACATGTTAAACAATATGGTGGTCTGCGTGATTTTGTCATGGCATTTAACTTAAATACTATTTACTTGAAGAGAAACCAGGAGCTTCTCTTATTTGTTTGCATCTAGAATTGTATACATATACATAATCAACATATAAATAACCTATTTTTAAAAATAAATTATTTATTTATTTATTATTTATATAAATAACAGTTTTAAGTTTTTAATTTCTTGGAATGGATGGTGGAAAAGTTCCTTGTTAACATATAAAAATCATATTCAGATTTCTGGTTTGTCATTGAAATCTGACCAATCTGAGATACAGTTAATTTTCAGGTTTAACAATAAATATATGTGATGGAATGGACTTATGAAGGCCAGGCTCAGGGAGATAAGCGTATTCTTAGCCCCCAGCAGGAGCGTGAGAAGTTCAAGAAAATGAGGCTGGCACCTCCCTTAGGAATTCACAGTGTTGTGGCTGGCTGGCTTGGGAACTAGGGTTCAGTCGGGGGAGATTTTCTGTCTGGAGGTTGTAGCTAATAAATGCAACAGAACTGTATTTGCACTGTCTCTTGGAGTTCTTTGGGCTGAACCTGACAATATATCTGAGTATTTCATTGCAAAATTCTACTAGTTGTGATACTATTATTTACCTCTTTTTACTCTGTGATTTGATGCTACTTAGTGTGAAGCTAATTGAGAGACAGAATGGGATATCCTTGTATCTTAAATTTGTAGATGGAAGTGGAGATAGGAGTGAGAAAGATGCCAGCAAAATAACCACCTATCCTCCGGGGACTGTCCACTTCGACTGTGATCTCCGAGCTGTACAAATTAGTTGTGGATTTCATCACTCAGGTACAGCCTTTCTGTCATCCATCCATCCATCCATCCCTCC